CACTTAAATTATTCCATAGTTTTACCCCACTTATGGAAATACAAAATCTTTTTTTGGTTGTACGTATAGCATGAATTTTTAAATTTAACTGACCCCTTAAATTGTATCCCCCTTCCCTTTCATTAAATAGTTTTTGAATTCCAGCAGGTAATAAATTGTTCCTGGCTTTATACATAAACACACCAGTCTTATATCCCACTAAATAAAAAAAAATTAACAATTTAGACTGTATGAAAGCTCCATTGGTGTGATCCCTATACCCCATCTTATGCACAATTCTTATCGCTCTTTTTGTAATATATACAATAGTTGAAGTGAGCTTTTGTATGTATTTCCCCAGTTTTCAATGCCATACTCCAAGTATGGTAAAATCAATGAGGAATACAAAATGCGTAGTGCTTTCCCGTCCAAAATATATCTAGTGATGTAATTTTTAGTATCTTCCCAGGTCCGCGAAGGTCTGTGTGGACGTCCGCGTGCAGGCCAACAGTTTGCATCTGTGCAACTGCTCAACAAAAGGCCAAACTGTGCATGTATCACAATGCTTGGAAAACATCAGCATAAGCAGACAGAATTCAGACTCTCACATTGATGTATGATGAGGAATGCAAGTGTGCCCTTCATGCATGTCTGCATATGCATGAGGGTATGCACAAAGCATGAGCAAGCTGAGCCCTAGTAATGGAAGAACACCAGATGTGTGTCCGTGTTCCTACTGGTGGTTGATGATCTGGAGAATTTAACCCCCTGACCGACTAGTCATGGAGGGCAGGCCTCTATGTGGGCGCCTGGCCTTCTCGGTGGTGTGTGTCGTGGAGCCTAGCTGATAGTGGTGAGATAGAGGGACATCAAGTCAAGTCTAGGCTGAGATATGGATCAACTCCAGGGGGATCCGGTTCTGTTCAGCTGAGTTAACAGGCACCGGCCTGATTATGGCCATGTCCCTTACAACAATGATATTATTTGGCTTTGGTGCAATGTAATTATTTCAAACAGTCTGTTTGTGGTAACGTGTTCCTCAACTAGTTAGGGGTTATCCTTGTTTCTGAGACTAATGATGCATTCCCAGCAACAGGGCTGTTTAAAAATACCCGGACAACAGACAGCAAGTTTTCCTTTTATAAGATGTGTCCAAGAGACCTTAAGGATCTGAGTAGTGCATGAAGGTTATTTTATTGTTATACAGCTTTATTCTACAATTCAGTTTTGCTTTGTAAGATTTTATTTTGATGTGGGGGGGGGGGGTTGGACGGCCCCTGTTTGGAAATAATTTTTAGTAATTTGGCCATCAGAAGCAGCTGGCAGTTTGGGTTGGAACAATGTGCAAGTGGAGGGAGAGAGAGAAGCGCTCACTCCAGAAAATCCTGAGAGAATGTTTGGGGTTTGGATGATGAGTGTGTGTGTGTGTGTGTGTATGCGCACGTGTGAGTGTGTGTGTATGGAATCGGGTTACACAGTCTGTCATTAACAAGAGAACTGTGGTTATGAGACCAAGATAGACTGCTTCATGTCTGAGCATGAGTCTGAGGCTCCTCTGTGTAGGTGGCTCTCAAGTTAGGGAAGAAAGGCAAAAGAGGAGAGACTGCATGTCTGCCTGTGTGTTAGATGTTACACAGTATGAATGTGTGCGTATGCGAGTAGGAGCCTGCAGCTGAAGGAAAGGGGACAGGATTTGGCTTGAAGTCTAGCATTTGAGTACCAACTTTCAGATATTTTTCCTCAGCCTTTTGCCATATGTCTGTCTGTCTGTGCGCACATGTTCTCGCGTGTGTGTGTGTGTGTGTGTTGACGTACTAAAAAGTTTGACTAGCATCAGACCTGGCATCAGATTAGGCAGCAGGCTGCAGAGGAACATAGCATGTGGGTTGAATTTGCTTCTGCTCTGTGCTTGTGTCAAGCTTTTTCAGAAGGGCCCTCTGTCTGCAGTGTTATTTTTAGTAGAAAAATCCTTGAGCCTTTTAATAATCATCATCTTTATGTGGCCCAAACATATCAGGATGAGAAGAGTTGTCTGGGACTTGGGGGCACTGCAGTCTCAGCAGGACACGGGGAAGTTAGAGAATGCGATAAAAGATTGCCTGAATATCTGCCAGATTTTAGACTTGTTTCACTGTTTGCCGTTAAGGAGCTCGCTCTCTTCTTCTTCTTTTGGTAGCTCTGCACACTCTCATTGATTTCTCCTATTCTGTGTTCAAATGAGGAAGACCAGTGGAGACAGAGAGAACAGAGACGAGACACTACTGTCTGCACAGATGCGCACACACACATACAGATCTGCAGTGCTTGTGGCTCCTCTCCCCTCTCCGCACTAACCCCAGACTGCACTGGAGACAGTCTGCAATACACATTTTATGAGCACTTCACTCAGTTCAGTGCTCTTGTCTTATCGCTCAGCTGGTGGGGTGGGGTGGGGGGGGAGTATTGGCCTTGTTTCAGGTTGATGCCTCTCTCTGATCTGATTCCCAGTCCCAGGCATGGGCTTTTATTTTGTGTGGGCACTTTGTCTACAAATCAAGTATAGTCTATGTTTGGGTCATGGGGTGGTAAACTGAAGTAGTTCAGTTATGATGCTAGTACTTCAGCCTCACACTGATGGGGCTTGCTTGAATTAGTCCAGTCAATTCCAAGAAAAGCAAAATTGGCAATTTATAATATTTTAGTCATTCATTGCTTTTGACATCCAAGTAGGGCTGAAATCAGTATTACAACGATAATAATGATAAATAATATATCTAAGGATATGTTATAAATAGCTAATGTATTCATGCATAACCAAGCGCTGCAGCTAACCTTGTTGATTAACCTCAGAATTATTTTCTCAGAGGGATAGACTAAAAATGATTATTAAATCTGTTGTAGGCTCTTATTCTGTTGATGAGGTTAAACAACAATTTGACTAATCACTTCAGGTATAACAAAACCACATGGAAAATAGAACCGTGCACCACTTGATCAGACATTTCATTTCAGTCAGAATTTGCCTCAACAGATAAAAGGCACTATTATCATATCACTGAAATTAAAATCCACTGAATGTTGTATCACTGCATACAAACCATTTACACCTTAATTTCTCATTTCTGGTGTAGTCATTAATGTTCGTGAGAAAGTGTTTATTAGTCTTTTTCCTTAGAAGTCTTTCCTCTCTGGAAGGCCAGGAAACTCACGGCCATAAAGGTTTCATTGGCAGCAGGATGTAATGACCCGAGTCAGTCGCACTACATAGCATAGTCATGTATACGCATTCGTTGCTTTGTTGCAGGCTGTTTGCTGAAGGATTATCATCCTGGTGGTGAAGGGTTTGTGGGTCTCAGTGAGGGTTGTTGTGTAAACCCTCTGACTCTTGGAGCTCAGGTCTCTGCCAGACTGGGAGCAGAATCACTCAAGACTAAAATATTCCCGGAGCTT